GGGGGGGGCGGCAAGATGTCAGGGAGAACCAGCCAGGATGCCATCAACCTTCACTTACTTTCTTCTCCAGCCTTGGAGTTACAGGAAATATTCAGGCAGCAGCCTAAATAAAAACTATAAAATGCAACCCTTCCATGTTGGGTCCAACTACATTTTTACCTAGGCAAACAGCAGCAAGTGGCAGAGCAATCCAAGCTTCTCATCCCTAGCTCACAGGGAGTTCACTAGCATTTTGTGGGTTGCTGGTGGCTTGAGCTTAATCTAGAATGAGATTTCCATCATTAACAAGGTACTAGCAACATAATCAAATCCCCCTTGCAGAAGGGCTGCTGACACCAGCACAGCTACACCAGTGGCTAGGGTACATATGTAAACCAGAATGACAATGCCCGTGTTGGACATACCTTGCCTTTCTGCTTGGAAGCAGTGTGCCCTTAGATCACGCTGTTCAGTCTGTAACCCATTTTCCTTCCTCCCAACTGCATTACACTAGCTTCAAATTTCATAGAAACCCATTATGTTCTACCACCTGTCCCCACTCCCCTTCCATAAAACTTTGTTCAAAGCAGAAGTCTCTGGGGCTTTAGTTCATAGTTAGCATATACATCCTTGTGATGCCTCTCTTGGCAACTCATCCCCATCTCTACCACTATGAGCCTTTTTCCAACAATGTACAGAGATGTGGCTGCCGTGGTCTCTGGAATTGCCCGTTTTGGAGACCCTAACAGCTGTAAGCATGGAAAGCCCAACTTCTCCCTGCTTACTGTGGCACACCCCAGGAGTACACAGAAATCAGCTCCTCAAGTCCCTGGAGCATCTGCCTGGGGTAGCTGCAGAGCATAGGGAGCTCCAGGCTCCCTTTGGTCTCCTGCCATAAGACGAGTGAATGTCTACCACAGTAAAGCAGCACAGGTTATTATTACCTTTTTGGCATGACCACATATTGTGGTGACAAAGAATATGGACAACCATTTGCTTTTGTTTTGGAGCCACCCCACTTGGGGTCCATTTCCACCCCAAATGTTCTCCTACCTAGGGGTCATCTTCAGTTCCCAATGTGAAGCCATGTAGTCACCCAAAACAGGACAGGTGTGCAAACATGGAGATGCCAAGCCAGTTATGGATGGGACAAGGAAAACAAGCTGGGTAGCATTCCAGACATGCTTGTCATGACATTGTACTATCACCCTAAGGCCCAGTACTCCTCATGGCCATTGCCTCTGGAGAGCAGACGTTCCACAGGGCCAGCCTCTCTGGAGGAATCCAGCCAGGATTCCCATGTAGAGTCCCTCCATAGGGGAGCAGGGAAGAACAGAAAAACCACTATGATTTTATGGAGCTACAGCTGATCCAGGGTGCAAACAAGAGAAGGTGACTCAATCCCTCCTCTCTTAGAGAAATTATGATAGCCAACACGTTCTCAGGTTTCCTCACTTCAGGAAACTATCCCGGGAAGTTTTAGAAGCATTAGCACAGACAAGGCCATGATACCCACTATTAAGAGAGATACAAGATTATCTTCTTCTCCACAGATATCCTCAGTGTGGCTGCCAGGAAGTCACAGGAAGTTTTCTGGACGACAGAACACAGAAAGACATCAGGGATAAAGAGTAACTAGTAGGGCTGTGCAAAGCTTTGGATCACAATTCGGATGCTGAATCTACAGATCTGAATCGAATTGCTGGAAGCCTTAGGCTTTCCAAATCAATTCGTAAAAGATTCAGTGATTCAGCCATAGGGTATAATGGGGAAGTCAATGAAATATCTGTAACTTTGTTGTCTTTTGGTTGATTCAGATGAAACTTGCAGGGGTGGTAGCCTCTTCTGAGTGCATGACACATACCAAGTTTCAAGGTGATAGGTACAGGGGTTTGGGGGAAACTGCACCCTAAATCCTTGCACAAGCACCCATGTCATGAGTTTTGCCTGTCAGCAGCTAGGGGTGCAGGGCCCCAGAACCCCCCTGTACCCATCTCCTTGACAGCTGGCAGGCTTTGTGGCCTCATCAGGGGCCAGTATGCCTGTACCTTTCACCCTGCAGCTTGAGGTGCAGTTTCCCAGAACCCCCTGCACCTATCACCTTGAAATGTGGCATGTATCATGCTCTCAGCAGAGGCTACCACCCCAGCAAGTTTCAGCTGAATCAGCCAAAAGACAACAAAGTTATAGATATTTAATTGATTCCCCATTATACTCTGTGACCAAATCAGCTCTGAATCTTCTGAAGCGATTTGGCCAAATAGAATCAGAAAAACAATTTGGATCTCTGAATCAAATCTCTAGCATCCAAATCAGCCAAATCCAAATCAAATAGTTCCCTATTTGCACAGGCCTAGTAACTAGACCTACCAATTTCTGCTGTCTCTACAGCAGCTGCTGTGCTTGCACAACAAATGCAGACATAGCCAGAACACCATACTACTGCAGGAGCCAAAGTGTTAACATGGGGAGACCTCAAGCATTTTACCATCATCTCATCCAGTCTGATCAGGACTCCCATCACAGCAGTGCTGCAGAGCCTGCAAAGCTGATGTTGGACAGTTTCTACAGTCCTGTCTGTAGCTACTGTTAAGGTTGTCATCTGGTGGTGGCACTTTAGGACTCTGAAATTCACACACTTAATTCCAAAGAGCCTTGTGCAACAATTTCTTGGCTAATAACAAATTGGAAGACAGTGGAAAGGAAATAAATCATCCCCATTAGTGCCTGACCTGAGCTTTTTATCCTTTACAGAGAAGGTATAGGATCAAAAGGGGTCATGATTGGATCAAGCTGGGCCCCAGCCCAAATGCATGAAACTAGGCAGTTATTTAGGGAATATCACTTATGGCATCTTCTTCATCCTCTCTAGTCAACTACATTTCTTTGTTAAATAACAGAAATACTGCCAGTGGCACCTATACATGTGCTGGATATCTGCTCCCACATGTGCCAATTGGCACGCATGGGAACAGACTTGTTCAACAGCATCTGCTGGAGCATGTTAATTAGCATGCTCCAGCAGCCTCCGTAACAGGCGTACTCAGTGTCCCTGCACTTCAAAATGGTGGCAGGGTGCTTTAACTAAAGTCCGTCAAAGGAGCTTTAGTTAAAAGCGCCACTGCCACCATTTTAACACACAGAGATGCTGAATACATGTGACGCTGCAGGCATTTTAATTGCAGCAGCTTCAATTTAAAAAATGCCCCCCTCCAGTTTGTATAAAGATGCACTTGTGACTAGGCAGATCCTGCTTGCCCCTAGCCTGCAAATATTGTACACACACAAGCCTATGAGAGCAGAACAAGGATTTTCATGTGGAAGAAGGGTCAGCTTTTCAAAGGGCTGTATTAAGGACAGGCTGAACAAGATTGAGCAAATGGAGTATATCAATGTTGTAGCAAGGCAGGCATGGCATAATGGGCCAGCTCTCCATTCTTTACTAGAAAAAATGTTCTAAAGGCAATTGAACGCAAGAAAGAATTAAGTAGGCACAGGGAAGAGACCTTTATGAAGAGACCATGGACTACAGTTAGGTGGAGGCAGCATAGTGCAGGGTAGAGGATAAGCTGGACAGTTTGAGGCCTCTTGTTAAATTTTCCATACATCGGTAGTTTGGATAGGTCTTCAGTCCAACATATTACCTCTTTGAACAGGGGGTGGGGGTGGAGAAGTGGAGCTTTTGGTGGACAGAGAGCAGATGACAGCTTGCGGATTTCATGCGCAAGTCCTACCTGAAAGAGCAGGAAGGCCAACAGCTAGGTTGCCTCAACCTTCAGGGAAATTTAGGCCCTTAGTCTGAATGGAATCAAGTTCTTAGTTAAGGCAAACACCATCCCTGTTATGAGACACTCCTGCTGGACCCTAGGGGCACTTTCACATGTACTCTGGAGTTGGGGGGAAAAGGGGTGCTTTAATTATAGCACCACAGCATCTCGTGCATTAGCGCCCCCACACTTCAAAATGGTGGTGGGAATGCTTGAACTAAAGCTCATTCAACAAGCTTTAGTTCAAAATGGTGGAAGGGGGCAAAATGAAGCATGGGGGCACCAATACAAGACGTGGAGGATGCCTGGAACAGTAATTACCATTCTCCAGCAGATTCAGTTAATCAAGTCTGCTCCACAGCATGTCTACAAGCACCCTAGGATTTGCCCATTTTAGGGATCCCTCCACAGTTTAGAGCCAAATGCACAGCTCAGACTAGTTCTTCACTGCTGCCACACAACTCACTATACTGTACTCCCCACACCTGAAGACATCTGGCCACAACCCAGATTGCAGCCAGTCTCCTTTCAAGAGAGCAGGCAAGACCATATCAGCCTTTCACTGAAAGTGAAGGGTCATTGCCCCAAACCTGCCTATCAGCAACTTAGGGATGGGTCTGTTCTTTTTATATCCACGTAGCCTGTCGCAGGATCAGATCAGCTTTCCCTGATAGACCTTCGTCCAACCTGTTCTTAAAAGCATCCTGTTAAGGCTATTCCACCACCTTCGGGAGAGCCTGATCTACTATTCCGTTATTTAACCTAGATTATTTTTGCTACAGATGAAAATATTTTCTTGCTCTCCATATCCACAAGTCTATTGGCCATTCTCCTCATGACTCTTTTACATATGGAAAGACATTCATCTCTTCCTCCCTCCTGTCTGTCCCCAGGTCTTTTCTTTTCTAGAGAGAGAAAGGTCAGTTCTTTCAGCTGTTCTCCTAGGTCCTGTTTCATCAGCCTCTTCTTCTGGTTTCTGTCCTCTAGACTTTCTCCAACCTACATTTGCCACTCACGTTGAAGGCTGACAAATTAAGCCATCCCCACTCAGTTTGGGCAGTGAACTAGATAGCAGTGTATTCAACTCTCCCAGAGAGACAGGACCCAGGTGACTCACTAAGTATCAAGACAGTCACACGTGCCTTTGAGGAGGAACTTGTAGGCAATGACCCCTATCTTTTAAGAAACTCAGCCGTCTTGCATTCTGCAAGCACAGCCAACCAAAGGGGAGTGGGGGGGGGGTAGCAGGAAGATGCACCTCATCCACTTTTACCCTCAATTAAGCCATTATACTGGTATGCCTTCATAGCAGCTGCTGAACTTATTAAGCACTCCCTTCAGTGTTACTGTACAGGTGCTTCATTCTTACTGCAGGGGGTAAGTGGCAGGAGACAAGGGAGCCACTTATCTTATTGCTCATTCAAACCTCAGGCATGGATTCCAGATGCTTCAGCAGTTGCATTAAGAATCAGTCAGGCATAACTAAAGAAACCAAGCCTTACAGCAGTGGAAAGGTTGCAGCTCACCCACCCTATGCTAACCTGCCCTCAGCCCCATTCATTCTGATGTGGCAAGAGCCACACCTTCCTCACCATCTTTTCTCTCTGGTGAGCTGAGCCCAGATCACTAAACATGTCCCTTCAAGCACTGGAAAAAAAAACTACAGTGCTTTAGTGGGGTGAGAGAGGAAAAAAAAGCCAGCCGTGTGGAACAAACACTAAGGTGTGGCTCTTCATACTCTCACCCAGGGTAATAGCCATGGAGAGTTGCTGACTTCTCCCTCTGGTCAATGAGAGGGCTCCCAGGCTCAGCAGCTAAGCCTTAGCCCCACCAGGTCAGAGCTCTCAATAGCTTGAAATATGCATTTTTTCATTAAAGAGGGACTGGGAGTTAAGAGTTAGTAGAAAACAGAAGCCTTGGAGGAAGGAAATAGAGAAGCAGCATCTACTAAAAATATGTAAGGTAACTAGATCTAGCAAGAGATGCAAGTTTTAAACCAGAACATAGGTTAACACACTGAATTCTGTGAACAGTCCGAGTAGTGCATTAACAGGCATGGTTTCATCATAAAAAAAAAAAAATCATTGATTTAAGTAATGTCCAACATGGTAGCTTCATCCCCCAACCTGCCACCCTGACCCAACTGAAATGCACCCAGCTCTGTGGTGAAACAACTTGTTTTAATAGTATTCCAGCTTGGGAAGTACAGGAAAGCCAGTGTGTGATTTCAGCAAGGAGACAGACAACCTCAAAGCATAGGTCTTAATTAAGGCAAAGAACACTCGTTAAAAGAGAAACTGCCCTGGAATAAATCTCATGAGAACACTGGCACACCTAATGAGTACATCCTAACAATGAGGGATTTAGGAAATAAAGCTAGAAGGGGAGGATGGGAAGAGGGAGAAAGACTTTTCTTCTGATAAGCTCAGTTGAGCCACAGCCCCCTTTCAGGCTTCACCCCCTCCCCTTTCTCTGCAAAACTCACTGCCTCCCCTGACATGCTTAGCAGCACAGTTAGCTCTTTATCATCTTTTTTTCCAAAGGGAAGAGAGAAAGACTAACCCTCCAAGGAGCAAAATTAAAATAATGATCTCAAGGAAGTAGCCTGAAGGTAGAAAAGAAATCCTTAATAATCCCCTGCAGTTAACCCCACACAGTCACTAAACTCCTACTCACTTAATAGTGCTTCAGGACTAAAATAAACCATTAAGCATGAAAGCTTCAGTCTTTGTATAACAGATACTTGTAGTTCAAAAACCTCATTAGAGGGAACACAGCAACCAAGGCAATTAACTCACCCTCCTTGCTGTGCTGTTGACTCCAACAAAAATCCACACACACCTGTAAAACACAGCAGCTCCCTCCCTGCTCAGCCTGATTTTAAAGGGCCCAGGGAGCTTGAGAAAAACAGTTTGTGATTGGTGGGGTGCACGTCACATGCAGTGGACCTATTCTAGCTCTTTATTTCTAGCCAAACCTGTTCCTCTTTTGGGATGGGACCAGAGTATCTGTGTGATACTAGGTTGTGCTGGAATGCTGTTGTACTGAAAATGCTGGCATTGAGGGGTTACTATTTTATGTTCTATCAAGGATGAACAAGTGACTCACTCCTAAGAGATCTTTGAACTTTAAAGATGATGGAGAAATTAGTAGCACCTACATATGAATAATAAGTATTGATGAACTGTTACTTCCATTAGTATTTGTGTCTACTGAGAGCATGTTCTAGAAAAGAGGGGAAAGGAATATTTGAAAAGGGCCTTCACTAAATGAGGATTGCAAAGGGTAGGGGAAGTAATCCTAGTGGCTCTCTGCTCCATTTCTTCATGTTGTATTGAGAAAGCCGGAAGCAAGTTTGCTTGGGGTGGGGTTTTACATTTTTTTTACTTGCTTGTTTTTTGGGTCCCCCCATTCAGGTATCATTTCCCCTAAGAATTCATAGATTGTAAGGCCGGAAGGGACCTCGGAAGATCATTGGGTCTAGCCCCCTGCACCAAACAGGAAAGACAGCTGGGGATCAGCTGACCCCAGAAAGGTGACTGTCTAGTCTCCTCTTGAAGATTCCCTGGATGGCAGGAGAACTAGTAGGATTAGTGTTATGACTTTACACATTGGCCCTGTCTTCTGTAGGCATTTCATTTTGCACACTTGGCCCTAATCACATTGTGGAAAGGTGTGTCAGTCTTTCCAGTCTGGCACTGACAGCTGGTCAACTGAGAGGGGACAAGACTGAGAAACATGTGGAACAAAGGCTGTATCTCAACTTCTTTCCCCTGCCCCCATTCCATCTCAATTAAAATCTGTGATCTCCATTACTGATAACTCCAACAGGTCTGCTGCAAACTCTTGGGAAGAAAAGACATGGCCTTCTTCATGCTTTAAATTAAGACCAGACAAACAGATACAGCACTGGGGAGACGAGGAGCCTCTGACCTTTCAGCTTCTTGTTACAAGTCAGGAAGTAATACCCCCGTTAAAAAAATATTTACTGGCCCCAGTTAAAGAGCCTTAGGGAAGTCAATGAGGATTGTGGAAGGTCCAGTATTCTAGAAACCACTCCTTCAGGTATCTGACCAGAGCTGGGAACGTGCCAAAGAAAAGCTGGGCTCCCAAAGAATGTATGCTAGAGTTTACATTGAATGCAATTGTATTCTGGGCAAGGATTTCAGGTTTCATTTGAGTTTGGAGAATCCTTTCTACTGCTGCCACAACAGCTTGCACTGAGTTGTCATTAAGAGGAGTAGAAGAGGACCTAACCATACCACAGAGTAACTGTCTCTGTGACACACAGGGTGCATTGGGCTGCAGAGGGCTGGGGAAAGAGAGGTTTTAGGAAAGAGTATTTGTCATTTGTGGTGTTATGGTGTGAGATGAGAATTTCCTGTTGTGGTTCCAGTGCCTGTTGAAGAAGACAAAGCCTCCACCTCACCAAAGGAAGGTTCCCTGGTAGGAGAACATCTTAAGGGCAGTGGTGAGGCTATGTCTGTCTCAAAACAATTCATCATACTATTGAGGGTATTGACACTCCCTGCAGTGATCTGTCCCAAGCCCAGCTCGGTTGACTCATTTCACTCTTCCAATGTACTGGAAAGAAAATGTGTTTCATAAAGTTTAGTGGGTGTGAGTCTTTGAGGAAGATTTCAAGGCCAGTACACATAAACTGGTTTAAGTGATCAGAAACTGGTTTAAACCTGTAACAGAATAGAGGATCAGTGAACACAAACCAGTTTCAAAATGGCTGAAACTGGTTCAAGATAAACCTGGTTGAATGTAGACTGAATTAGACTTAACTGATTTGGGTCAAACTGGTTTATGAAACTTCTGTCCCAAACCCCTTCCTGGTTAAAGTTAAATCACAGGCCCCCAGCATCCCAGCATGCTTTCCAGCCCTGAGCTGGGCTCTACTGTCTGCTCCACAGACGAGGCCTGGCCCAAGCCTGGCTGGGGATACAGCTCAGTCAAACCCCGGCTGGGGTCTGGGGCCAGGGAAGGGGTTAACCACCCATTCCCCAACTCAAATTTACTGCTGGCTGTGAGTCTGAACTACAAATCCCAGAGGCACCTGGAAGCAGTAAGAGGAAGTGATCAGCAACCTTGCAGAGTCCTACTGTTGTGATTGTGGACTGCAAATCCCAGAGTCCTCGGGGAAGCAGGAAGAGGAAGCAAACACTTAGCCCATGCTAGCTGCATGCCAGAGAGTTGTACTCTAGTGCCCCCATCTTCTGGCCTAAGCCACTGTAGGCATGTGGCTACATTTCCTGAATCAAAGGTAAATGTCTGTCACTTCTGTTTCCATTTAATCTGTGCAGCTTAGACTAACCTGCAAAGACTGAACTGATTCAGCCAGGGCTTTTTGGCTGTCTAAACTTAGTCCAAAAGCCTATGTGTGATCTTCTCAGCTGGCTGTTGAGGATGCCTAGTGGTGTCTAAGGATGCCTAGCTGTAAGTGCCCCACTCAAGGCAGTGTATGCAGTAACAATTGAACATGGGCTTCCATCTGTTGGCTGCCATGGTAAGATGGTTTGCTATAGCCCAAGAGGGGATGCAAGAGAGAAGAGGGTGAGAAATGGAAACCCCATTTCTTTCTAGAATGTGGCACTGTACATTGGAAGTCTGTCTGAGGAAAGCAGGTAAGGAAAGAGCCTGTCAAGGAAAAAAGGTGGAGAGGTCATTTTTTTTTGAGGACCTGGGCTTAACCAGCCAGTCACCAGCAGGAACAGAAGCTTTCAAGAAAGCACCTTCTTGCAGTTGGTATAATCCTATCCCATTCACAAAGTGTCAGGCAGACATTTCCTGGGGTAGAAAAGGGTGTGGAAGGGTGGGGTGGATGGCATTTGCTCCTTTGCTGTTGCAGTGGTTTGCCTAAGATAGAGAAAGCTTTCTGCTGAACTGGCTCATTTAAATTTGGAATTAACAATAGTGGTTGAAAAAATAAGAATTAACTAGGTGAAAAATGTTGCAAGTGCTTTCAGTTTTGTGGCCCACCCCCCCGTGCCAATTTTTATGAGTTATTTTTCCCATCTTTAAATGTTTTTCTTTGTTTTATAAATGACAGGGAAACAAGGTTTCATTCAATTTTAAAGGAGAAAGCCAAAGGGAAGAATTCAGCCAAAAGAAAAGAGGAAAAAGGAAAATAAAAGGAAAAATGAAAATATCTGAAAAACTACTAACTGACTAAATGTTTTTGTTTCTGATTTTCATCTAACAAAATAAAGACCTTTGAAAAAAAATTTAAAAGCCTTTTAATTTAAATCTTTTTTTTTAAAGCCATTTGTTGACTAAGAAATTTTGGGGGAAATATGTTAAGCAGCTCTGTTAACTAAGGCTGCGTGTTACACTGTGAGGAGGGGATGCCAGGGTGTGGGGTGTGTACAGTGTATTCCTTATTGGGGGGGATGCAGAAGAAAATTCACTGACCTTGGAAATGTGTTGTGGGAGCAGTTAGTTACAAGTAAAGGGTGCCCCAGATCATGGTGTTTCCTTGCTTTCTAATGTTTGTAATTGGAGGGACATCAGAGCATGAGAAGGACGATTATCAACACCTCATTCGACCCAGTGGGTAGTATCCTGGAGTCTACACATTCTGAACTACAAAGAGATGAACTCCTCCATGCCCTCCTGCTCCCTTTGCTTCCACGCCATGAGATAAGCAGTGATTCAGCATCCAGAGAGAGATTGTACACAAGGAGAACAGAGGGCACCAGGCAAACTATCTGAACCTCATGAGTCATTCCTACACCTGCATCCCTTCTACGTTTAAACAAGATAAAGGCTCTCCTCATTTCCAAGCTGTTGACTACACTTTCAGCTTTGCATGGGAAGAAAACAGGTAAAAAAATCTCACATGTTAAGGGGACATCACTTGGAGAGAAATCCCAACCCTCAGACTTCATTTTATTTTTCTCCATACATTGCATTTGCCTTAGATTAGGGGTGGGAAAAATGTGGGATCTGGTTGGCAGCCGGACTCCATTTTCCAGCAGCCCCTGGCTGCATGGCTGGGGCTGGTCTCCATGGAGACCCCAGCCATAGCTGCGCTGTGATAGCGCAAGGCTGGGATTGCCATGGAGACCAGCCCCAGCTGTGCTGGAAGCACAGGGCAGGGGGTTGCTCCAGAGATGCTGGGATCTTGCAGCGGGTGCAGTTTGGTCCAGGGCCAAGGCAGAGCCACAATCCAGGCAAGGTCAGAGCTCTGCCCTGGCCCTGCAGCATGCAGGATACAGATCGTGGGTCTGCCCTGGCCCTGGCCCATGCTGTCCCCGCTGCAAGATCCCAGAAGCTCTGAAGCAGCCCCCTACCCTGCCCTGCCAGGTGCCCTGCCATCAGGGCTGGGGTAGGTCTCTATGGCAACCCAAGCATTGCACTATCACAGTGCAGCTGCAGCTGGGGTCAACATGGACCCAGCCATGCGGGCAGGGGGCTGCTGGGAAATGGAGTCCTGCTGCTGGCTGGTTCTGGCCCACGGGCCAGAATTTGCCTGCTCCTGCCTTATACATTAGTCAATGCAGAAGGCAAGGCACTCAACTTGATAGACAAATGACTGATAGAAAACTGGAAATCCTATGTTTCTAGGTGTTGTCTGCAAGCAATTACTGCTTAGGTACATGTGTTTAACTATGCACCCTGACTGGTTTTTTTTTCCCCCACAGGAGCTTTTGTGTTTTCCAGTGGGGTGCTGAACAGAAATCACTTTGGACAGTCCAGCTAAAATCAGCTTAGACCATTTATGAAGGGTGCTATCTTCTTGCTATAAAATCTCCTCCTCTTTCTAGAGGAAGGTCTCACAACTGCCCCATAAAGGGACTTTAATGTTTCTGGAAATGAAGCCCAAAGCTTCTGTCTCCATGGTACCCAAACAAGTTGTGAAAATAGAAGGCTTGGGGACTATGCCAACAGAGTTAATAT